AAGAGTGTGAAAGATAATTTAGGCAGAGAAAATAATAGAGAGTCATGGAGATGGTGATTGCATTAAATATTTAAGTACCTTGACCATAGGTTAAAAAATGCAAATCACCTTTGGTGAGATGGGAGGATAGAATTGTGGGGACTTGCTGTATTAGGGAGCCTACACTCTATCCTAGGTCAGTTGAAGAGTCTTAAGTAAATATAACCTGGTAATATTTGCAATGTGTAAAGATTGCTAAAGCTACTTTGTAATGTGGTGGCAATAATGGGGATGGGGAGATCAATTAGGAGGCTATTTAAGTAGTCTAGGAAAATGAAAGAGAGTAAATTAAAATTGTATGGGATCAGAAAGAAGAAAACAGACTTGACTATACATGTATTTTGAAGGTATATTTGGCAGGATTTGGTGACTGAATGCATATGGTAGACAGAATGCATATGGTACCTGTGTGGATAATAGTAACATTAGCAGAGAGCTGGATAATGGAGAAAAAGCAGACTGGGTGGATGATGAGTTTGGTTTTAAATATATTATGTCTGGGGTGTTTGTGGAACATATTATAGTTATGTTCAGCATGCGGGTGGCTATATCAGTCTAAAGCTCAAGGGAGAGGTCAAAGCTTGACATGAAGTAGTCACTATCCCAAGGACCAAGGATATAAAAAATATTGTTACATGACAGATTAAAGCTGATTTTCGTGGTTACTCATTACTTACTGCAGTGTCATTTCTATATTTTCCAGCACTCAGTCACAACACTTAACATGTCCGTAGCCTACATAGGGTCTTTAAGATAAAGAGTTGTATAGAAAACACACTTAATTCTTGTATTATTATTTATTAAATATTTCATTATTTTCTCTATAAAAAACTGTCAACCTACTTTTGCCCCACCCTGTATAAATGCACATCGAATATTTTAAAAGAATGCTTCTGTATAATGTTATTAACCTGTTAAACATTTATTGAGCACTACTATGTATGCTGGGTAAGGTGTTAGTGGTTTCAAATAGAGAGATCAATAAAATAGTCCCTGATTTCCAGGGTTTCACAATCTAGTCAAATATATAGGGATATATAGATATTAAATTACAAAGTGAGATAAGTTCAAAGCAAAAACACACACAAGGCAGATCATAGGAAGTAGCAATCAATTCTGCTTGTGTACAGGCAAATTTCCCAGAATAAATGGCATCTGAAACACCTTTTGAAAGGTGAAGATGACCCTGTCTGCTTAATGAGGAGCAACAGAGGGGAGGCAGGAATATTTTGAAAAGAGAAAAAAAAACAGAGTTCCGTGTGTCACAAATAAATAGCTGATGCATTTGGGAATTGCCTGTGGATGAAATGGAAGGGAGAAAGGATAGCTGGGGATGTGGTGGGAGAGGTAGATGAAAGCTAGTCACGTAAATTATGTAGATATCTTTCTGCACTCAATAGTTTACTTATTCAAGGTTTTATTATAAAATAGTACCTCTCAATGATAAAAGGAAAAATTGTGAATCAAGGTGGCAAATGGAAGAACTGAAAATGAAAAGTAAAGATTGGAGGCCACAAGGACGACCAAGGTCAGCTTTAAACTCAGCCTCCAGATGAGTTAGTTCATTGTATGGAGTCACTCATCAACTTCAAGCACATTTCAGGCAAATTCTTACCAGATTAAGTAGTACTTAAATGAGTGTGTCTACAAATTAACATTCTGTTTCTGCCTCTAATACCAATACTGATAGTGGTATTCTCTCATGATATTCTCCCGTGTCTTGACTCTTTTCCACCAGGGCTATTCCAGCCTTGCTAACTGTGATGCTGACACTGCACTTAATGTTCTTCTATCTGCTCCTTTTGCACTTGACAGATCCCCAAAGGATGTATTATGCTCCTTAAGTAACTGTCAAGGTCTCTGCCATAGAAGTCAGTGACAGCCTTTTAAGGTATGATTTCTGAAATGGGTCCTGTGTTAAAATCTTTCACCGTTTGTGTAACTTCCAGCAATGGCTCACTTAACCTTTTGTCCTGTGCTAACTCCGCAGAGCAGCTTGCCATGTCTTGCATGTCGTTTTGCGTAAATATTTCCAGAATATAGAGAATATAAACATAGCTAAAAGTCCCTAAATAATACTCATAAGGACTTTTTAAGGATGCTCACAGACTTAAGTTCTCCAAATCTCATATTTATCAGGAGTTGTGTGTTTATACTTGGTGATGACTTTTTTTCTAATCCTCTTTAAGATAGATTTCCAGCCAAACCTTCCTGAAGATATGGTATATTTCTCCATCCTATATTTCTCAGAAATTAAAATTTGAAAATAGTACTTCATGTGTGAATGTATGTAAATAAATAAGCAGTATTAGTTGTTAATAAAGTGCAGAAATACCAATCCATTTAAATATGTGGCCTGTAAATCTAATCTTAAAACAATAAAGGTAGAACTTAATGTCATCTTTTAGTGGGCCTAAGTCTAGCTCAGCCATGGGCAAAGTACGGCCCGCAGGCCGAGTACGGCCCGCAGGCCGGATCCGGCCCGTTTGAAATGAATAAAACTAAAAAAAAAAAAAAGACCGTACCCTTTTATGTAATGATGTTTACTTTGAATTTATATTAGTTCACACAAACCCTCCATCCATGCTTTTGTTCCGGCCCTCCGGTCCAGTTTAAGAACCCATTGTGGCCCTGGAGTCAAAAAGTTTGCCCACCCCTGGTCTAGCTGCTATTCTCTAAGTCTGCATATAGTCCTTTTAAAATTGTTTTCCTGAAAACACTCTAAGCGGTAAGATAAGTTGGATAGAAGAAAGTGTGTGTCCACTGTTTGTATTCTGTTTCCTTCAAATGAAATGCTCTCCTTTATCCAGATGCTACCATGCTTCATGGAAATGCTCAGGCTACATCTTTTACTTGAATTCTTCTCTAATAATAAAGCAGCCTTAATTAATCTTTCTATTCTCTAAGAATTTGCAATTGTAATTTGTGCTATGTAATTAAGCATTTCATTGTAGTGTTTTTTATGATATTCACTGATTACTTACAGGGGTTATTCCTCTTTCCCCGGTGACACTAAACTTCTCTATGACTCTCATAGACTTACACTCTAGACATCTCACTAGCTATTCACACTGGTACATTTCAACAAGTGTTCCATGTTCATCCAGAATAACCTTTCATTCAAGAACTCATTTAATCATTATGTGTTGAGATCCTACAATGGACCACACACTGTTTTAAGCAATACAGATACACCACTAACAAACACAAAAAAATTTGAGACATCATTGTAGAGAGCACCTGGGAAGGCACATGGGCATTTCTTTCATTATTGTCAGCTCAAGCCAGTGGCGTTGGCAAAGCCAAGTCCCGGAAACACGTTTTGCCAAAAGGCAGGAGTGTTGTCAGCTTAACCTTCAGCCCAGGTGCCAGGGGGTGGGTTTTGTTATTTAAATCCAGCCAAGCAGCAGGAATGAATACAACTCTAGCCCACCCAAGAATGCAAATAATCTCCTTTGTCTTGACTTTTAGTTAAACTTCCAGTTTTTTTGCAGTATAAAATACATATGCTGTATTGGCTCAGAGTCACTGTCTTTGTCCGGATCCAGGTCAGAGGACAGTGGTCCCACCGGGCTCCAGCTTTTCCCTTTCATCTCTGTGTCTGTCTCTTTCTTTCATTTTTCTCAATCCCCAGCCGCCCCTACTCAAGAACCGGACCGCTCTCTAGCCACGCTGGACGCGGAGAAGAGAGACGTATTTACACATCATTGAATTTTAATTCTAGTAAGAGGAATCCAGACAATACATAAATGATGTAAATATATAGTATATCAGTTTCTCTCATAAATATTACTAAGAAAGTAGAGGTAGAAAGAAATAGGGTTTGCTTCTAGGGAGTAACAATGGAAAGATCTTAATATTAAACAGGACAGTCTAGGAATTCTTAGAAATGCCATAGTTAATGTGATCAAGAAATTTTCCTAGTGTCCTTAACAGATTAAATTAAGGTCCCTATTTACCTAGAATCAAGCCAATCTTATCCAACTTTTATTTTTTTTAGGGTGCTTAAATTAATTTTTTCTTTTTTAAAAACAGCTCCATTAAGGTATAATTGATACACAAAAAACTGCACATATTTAATATGTGCAATTTGATGAGTTTTGGATATATGCAAACTCCAGTGATCCCATCACTACAATCAAGTTAATAGACACATCCAACATTTCCCAGAGTTTCCTGTGTCCCCTTGTTGGTTTTATGTTTCTTCTCCTTTGTTTTTTACTTCATGAGTGAGTGAGAGTGTGTGTGTGTGTGTATGTGTGTGTGTGTGTGTGTGTGTGTGAACACTTAACAGAAGTTACATTTTTAACAAATTTTGAAGTTCACAAGATCATATTGTCAATTATAAGCATTATGGGTTTTTTTTATATGTTTTATTGATTTTTTACAGAGAGGAAGAGAGAGGGATAGAGAGTTAGAAACATCAGTGAGAGACAAACATTGATCAGCTGCCTCCTGCACACCCCCTACTGGGGATGTGCCCGCAACCAACCAAGGTACATGCCCTTGACCGGAATCGAACCTGGGACCTTTCAGTCCACAGGCCAACAACGCTCTATCCACTGAGCAAAACCGATTAGGGCTATAAGCACTATGTTTAACATCAAGTATATCTCCAGTCCATTATGATGTCTGAAAGAAAGGATTTATTATTTTATTTTTATAGAAAATACCCCTGGTCCTTCACTACATACTGAGAATGAGGTAAACAGTATAAAGGCAGTAAAATATTCTAAAATAGATTAAATAATATATCTAAATGCAAAGGGAAATTAGGCACACCAGTAAGAAAAGGGGAGAGAGGTTTTCTGTCATTAACTGATAAAGTAAGATTTAACTTTTCAATAAAGTTAACTTAGAGTTGCAACAAAATAAAAGAAAAAGTATCATACCATTTTCTAAGAGAAATCATTAAAACATATTTTCAGTAAAAATTATTTAGAGATGAGATGAAATCTTACCATTTTTACTGATGTCGAGTTCTTTAAGGTTAACTAAACTAGCAATGGTGGTTGGCAGACTTGAAAGGTCATTGTCAGGAATACTTAGTTTTCGTAGAGCTTGACAGTTGAACAATTGCTGTAAAAAATAATGATTAATTAGAACTCAATTTGGTTAAGTCCATTCATATATAAACTCAGTAACAAAATTCATCTTTATAAATGTGGTAGTGAATGGGCCAGCTACACACTCTCACCTTCTTCCACCCTGAAATTCTCTATTGTTTTCAGAATGTTTTCCATCCCCATGTTAGTACCTCACTCTTCTCTGCTGCTTAGATTCAAAACCCAAAGTATTCTACTTTTCCTCCTGTTTACCATTAATGTCCAATTTGCCACTGACCCTATAGATTTTCTTCTTTGAAATAATTCCTGGAGTTGTCCCTTCTTTTTTATTCCCTCAGCTATAAGATTACCTCAATTCTCTTTTCCTGTCACTATGTTAGATTTCAGAAAGTAGCACTTCAATGTAATCATTTTGAAGAATTGTTTATATGACATGCAAGAATTGATATATATATTTGAGTACATGAGCTCACATTTCTTTTATTTCCCCCTACACTGCTCATAAATATCTAATAAATGAAACATATAACCTCTGATACTTGGTGAAAACTAGTGATTGGTTAATTTCTGCCATCAGTCTAAAGTATTAGGTGGGGAAATATGTAAAGTGAAAGCAACGGTGCTCAAATCCAGCATGCTTATAATCACTGGTGGGTGGAGGTGCTTGTTTAAAATGTGATTGTTGCGCTCTACCCAAAGACATACTGATATAGTGGGTCTGGGATGAAAGTCAACATCTGTATTTAAAAATATATTTATTTATTTCAGAAAGGAAGGGAGAGGGAGAGAGAGATAGAAACATCAATGATGAGAGAGAATCATTGATCGGCTGCCTCCTACATGCCCCACACAGGGTTTGAGCCCACAACCCGGGCATGTGGCATGTGTCCTGACCGGAAACAGAACTTCGACCTCCTGGTTCACAGGTCGACACTCAACCACTGATCCACACCCGGTGGGCATCAACATCTTGTATTTTAAACAAGAACTCGAGTGATCTGGTTATTCTGATGTGTGTGTTTACAGTACCATATTTTGGGAAACAAGATTTTTTAGCTATGTCCATCTTATCTTGATTACTCAAGATATGAACAGCTGGGACAGAATTTTTATTCTTTTCTGGAAGAATTATCTTAATGAGATCCTTTCTGTTTGACATTTCTAATTATGTTTTGCTAAATTTCCACAGATGAAGTCTTTGGTATCCATGACGATGCAATTGGCCCAGAGTGCATTTAACTACCACTTGTTCTTACATGTAATTCATTATTTATAGGCAGAAATGATGTAAGCCATAGTTATTATTTCTTAACTCATAAGTTCTTTTAAAAAATAGATTGTACTGGTTGATACTTAAGATGAAATATATATTTTCTTGCTTTTGGTTAGTCACTTGTAGCTCCTTACATAGATTATTTGCAATACTTCATGTAGTGCTAGAATTTCAATATGCTGTACAGAAATGTTGCTACTATTTCTTAATAACAGTTAAAAATGTAAGTTTGATAGTTCCTATTAACAGCCAATTTTCCTTTAAAAATAGAAAAATAAATGTCTACACTCATGGTAAAAGTTAACTAAATTTTTGTCCAGTTTATATCATCCAGCAAGGATTATTACATCTATATGCAATGTAATATTATAAATTCATAGATTTAAGGTTATAAATTCATAGATTTTTAAAAATCAACTGCCTCATGACTGTTGTTGGTCAAGTGTACTAACTATTCTTTAGTTAATAGATTATTATAACCATTTTATGCCAAATTTAGACAACTAAATTTCAAAACAGAAAGGCTTTTTTTCTGTTTTTGAAATTTAAGTCCCATCATCTCAACTAAATTCTCATTTTTTCCCATAAATTAAAAAATATATTCCTGTATTCTTCTCTAACTTTAAACATAACCATGTTAGGAACAAAATATATGAAAAATTTTCAATACCCTATTACACAGAGAATCCAAGACTTCTCTGGTATGGAGGCTAAGAGCATGGTGTTTGTAATCAGACTGATGTGGGTTCAATCCCCACTCATCTACTTACTAGCTGTATGGTCTTGGGAAAGTTGCTTAACATCTCTGAGCCCTATTAATTTCCTCCTCTGTCAAATGAGGACAATAACATTACCTAACTGAAATGAGTTACCATTATCCATCAATTCTAAGTTCTGCGTTTTTTACATCTTAACATCTTTGATGTTTGGGAGGCACATTACAGTCAAGAGCAAGCTCCAGTTTTTAAGGCGTGTTTCTCCGTGCGACTACCATAATGATGTCTTATAACCAATGGCCTTGATCTGAGGAAATGAACTACTTGTGAACATGTAAAACTGATTGGCACATAGTAAGAGTTGATAACTACTAGGGATTATTAATATTTATATATATGATACAGAAGCACATCTCTCTATATAACCTATTTCTTATTTTCTAGATGATGAGGTCTTTGAAGGTAGAAGTCATATCTAATTCATCTTGGTAGCAATCTGTTTCGCCTTTGCCTATACCCAAGTTATTAGCATCGCACATAGTGTGTGCTTAATAAGTATATTTTACCAAATACTTAGGTAAGTTGAGGGAAAATGAGTAAAGTATTCAGTTCTAACTGAAAGCAGTACCTCACTGTATTAGAAGTTTTAGAGAGGTAACAAGCTTGTGGAATTTAATTTAATAACCAAAGTGAACTTCTGAATGTGAGTTATGATGTTTATTACTTGGAAAGAAATTAAAGAGATATTTTAATGATTCCTTCAAGAATTAAGCTTTGAATGAAAATGAAGTCAAGGATGATTATGAAATAACCATAATTCTTCAATATAGTATAAAATAGCAAATTAATTAATTACTAATTAGAGTAAGACTGTTAATGTTTATAGTTACCCTGCCTTTCATTTGGTATTGAAATTTCACATTTCAAAAACAGTGAAGTTGTTTTGAGTCTTGAAATATTTGTGTACTAAAGGTCTTTTTCTAGGGCTAATGGAAGCAATTTAAACTCTGACAGAAATTGGTTTGTGAAGAGCATGCAATTTAAATTACTGACTCAAGAAAGAAATGGTTAGGTGTTTACTAAGAGAGCTGACAGAAAGAGAAAGGCCTAAAGATTGAAAATAAAAACACATTTGAGCAAAAAATGTATATCCTAAAAGGAATTATGCATTCATCCATGGGAAAACCATTAATTGATACCTGCTACAGGCTAGAGACACTATGCCAAGTATGAGAGGCACAAAGTAAACAAGCAATAGCTATTGATCTCAGATTGCTTACAAGTTAATATTCAGACAACTACTACAGTGGGAAAAATGCCAAAGTAAATATGAGGTATGGTAAAAACACACGGGTAGGATATCTGTACCAGATTATGTTCATGGTGGTGGTGGGGTTGATTCATGAAAGTATTCCCAAGAGAGGTGATGAAAAAATGGATCACCAAAAAGCCAGCACAAGTAAGCAGATGAGGAATAATACTGCACCTTTCTTGTAGCATCTAAAGATACTCCCATTCAAAATATGCATACCTCAAACTAGTTTCAGAAATTTGCTTGATATATGCAGAGACTTAGATTTTGGAGTGAATGCTCTGAGTCTACAACAGCTACATGCATTTTAAATAAATTTATGGAATACTAATTATATGCTAATGGTAGACATTTAGCACTGAAAATGAAAAATAAAAGATATTGCCAATTTCTGTCCTCAGCAGTATGGTGGACAAAATCGTCAAAGAAAAACCTTTCAGTGCAACAAAACCACACACACATTAATTTTTCCAATTTGTGGTATGTAAAATGGTAACATCTTTTGTAACAAATTACTAATAAAATGGAATATGTTTTCTTGTTTTATTCATTTGAAAAACATATTCTGGATACTAATTTTTGGACAGTTCTCTCAATATATGGCTCAACATTCCATTCTTTTTATGTTATCTATATATATATAAAAGCTTAAGTGACCATCACGACAGGTCTACTGAAACCAGTCTCTATGATGCACACTGACCACCAGGGGGCAGATGCTCAACGCAGGAGCTGCCCACTGGTGGTCAGTGCACTCCCACAGCAGGAATGCCACTGGGCTAACCGCTGACAAGTGCAGCTGAGGCAGTGTGAACCTCTCCCACCTCCGCTGCAGACTACAGAGGCACAGTACCCCGCCTGGCTCGGGCTCCTCCCTGGCCGCCTGCCTGCTTCGCACACTGCTATATCCCCTGAGGGGTCCTGGATTGCGAGAGGGCACACAACAGGCTGAGGGACCCCACCTGTACATGAATCCCTGCACTGGGCCTCTAGTCTTTCAATAAAAAGACATTTATAATAGTCAAATTTATCTGTTTTAATATGTGCACATGGTCTCCAGTTTTTTTCCTCCTGAAAGTCTTCATGCTTTGATTTGCCTCATGTAGAATTTATTTTTGAGTATGATATGAAGTAAGGGTCCATTCTTTTCCTTTTATCGATGACCAGTTGTTCTGGCTCCATTTTTAAAACAGCTCCTTGTCTCTCTACTGATTTGCAGGACAAGTTCTATTGTACATCTGATTTCTACATAAGTATGGGTCCATCTCTGTACTTTCTATTTCTGTCCATCTCTCATTCCAGCTGGGTCATTTGAACTCTATGACTGGGAAATGTGCTTGAGCCGGAGAAGAAGGGGAAGGGAAGTAAGAGAATGCCTGGGGAAGGAAGAAAAAGCTCAGCCAGGGTTTGTGAGAGAGGGGTAGTTCTGTGAGCAGAAGGTGGGTGGGGAGGGGTAGATTGGGAAGAGCAGGGCAGTCTAGAGAGCTGTTTTAGGAGGAACGACTCAGGGGAATGTTAGGAATGGCAAAAAATTAAAAGAGGCTCTATTCTAAACTTTGTGGAAAGGAATAGAAAAGGAAGGTTTTAGCCAGAATGTGAAAAGATGTGCAAGTCTGGGCTTTATCCTACAGGAGGTGTTCAGATGATGATTTTTATTCATTTCTGAGTCAGCCTTACAAATGCTGTCTTCAGAAAAACACACACACGTGTGC